TCTTATTTTAATCCTCCTATAACTTAAGTTTATTAGATCTTTTATAGTTCACTTAAGATTTATCGAGCGGGTTCAAGCGTAAGGATAATAATTTAGTTAACTAAGTTTTAGCCTGAAGATTTGGGAGAGAAATAAAGATTTATTTATGGTTGGTCTCCCAGTTACACTTAACAATCCAGTAACGTTTTTGGTTCGATAACTTCATGAAATCTGTTTCCGAACTACGTAAGTTGAGTTTTATTTCGTTGAAACTTGGACAACATAACACTAATAAATCACTAAGTAATGATAAAATAAAATATTAAAAGATTTCTCCTTTAGATTCAAAATTGTTATTTTATTTCATGGTAGATATCAATTTGATTTATATTCGTAATAGACTAATCGAAGTAGCAATTGGGTCAGCCGCACTTATTTCATTTGGGCGCTGGCGTCAAATTGCCGGCGGCGTGGACCGCACACCTACTTTATGACAACCCTTGTTATGTAAACAATGTTGACCGGCACCTCTATATTGTTTCTAAATGACAACCTTGAAGAATATATTTATATCAATAATTTGATATAGGTACTTTAACCGTTCATTATAAAAATGCATCAAAGATTACAGTATAAGAACAAAAGTAAATTATTATTTAGATTCTTGTAAAACAAATTATTGATTTTCGTGACTTATCTAACAGTCGTTGATTGTTGCTGATAATATTAACAATAACAAATCAATTTCGTGATACATGCCCAATAATTAACGATTATAAGATGATTTAAGTTGGCAACACTACGAGTATAAATGGTCATAAAATACGTCAATACTACAAAGTTTTGCTCAAGTAATTAAATTTAATTAACAATGCATCTTATTAAAGTAGAACTGTGCAAATTCAATAGCTACTTCATTTCCAACTGTAATGCTTTGCTCGTGTCCGGCTTCCGTAATTAGCGGCCGCTAAAGCTCGCGTAACCTATAACGTAACGCCAATCAAATGGAAAACAAATGAAACGTGATACGATAACTGTTAACATTGTTATGCTTTAATAATGATGATTGATTTACTAACCGCCATATTTGGTGTCGTTTTATTTCTATATCATTTACTTTAAAGTAACTTCTGGAGTTGATAGGTATTATGTTATTGTAAAAACTATTATATTAAATTAAGAATCAAACAGTCCGCGCCAGTAACGGACGTATGGCCACTACAAAACATTTATTGAACTTCTCACAGTGAAAAATACCATCAATATATCGTCGCGTAGCCGTAATTGGATTTTTGTAATTTCACGGTACAAGGATGAGATCGTATAGGGCGAGGCGCGAGATAAGTTCTTGGGAATATTTTCATATGAAATTTGCAAATATTCACATATATTATTTGAGATATTTGATAGTGTGAGACAATTGTAACCAAGTATTCGGGCAATAAAAATTTCTAAGTAATATTCAGTCGAAATATCACAGTAAAATAGACAGAACGAAAATAAAGTACTGCATACTGCAAGACTGGCCGTCTATACGAATATTTATCGACCATATTGACGTTTCAGCGAAGTTGTAAAGAACGACCTTGTAAAGTACACCTCTAACAAAATGTCGACGTGGATTTGCAAAATTAAAACGTATTCTAACCTTTTAATAGCAGCGTAATAATATTACTTATTAAGTTCTTACATGTTCCATTTGATTCTGTATAAAAAGAACAAACATACCGAATTCCATTCAACATTTGTAATGATGCATGTCATCCCTTAAATTACCGTTGACAAAACAGAGACTATAACATCTTACTTTTTAGTAATACGATAAATTCGTATGTTTAGACGGATGGATGGATGTTTGTTAGAAGGCACCTTCAGAACGGCTCAAAGGATATCCATGTTCAGTATAGATATAGTACATATACTGGAAAAACACATAAGCTACTTGGTGCATTTAGAAAAGTTTAACAACTGTTTATGGGTTCATTATATTATTTCTTATATGGGTTTAAGCAAAAACACCTCAATATTTAACCGCTGTGAGGTAAAAAGTGAATTTCAAGCAAGATAAGACTTTGACCGATCGATCTGCAGCCACGAAAACCCATCCACTGATTAGAGATTTACTGACCCGTGCCTTCGTAAATTTAATTAAACCGTAGAGACCACTTGGAGATTAATGTAACTAAGAAAAATCGAAAGGCGGTTGAATTTCTCGATAAATATATAAGATTGTGTATGTGTTCTAAACTACAGATCGCATTTTACCGGTAATAAAATATGCTTCTGCGGTTTAAAATAACCGCCACAATATCATATAACATCGGCACATATACGATACACAATGCTTGTAAATGAAAAAGGAAGTACAAAGATTAAATCTAGAGAACATCAAAATTTTTGTTTACTGAATTCATTTATTGGTGAGTGCACAAACCAAGCTAAGATCGTCATAAAAACATACAAAATTAATCTCACCACCCTGATATTTTTAAAGTTAAAATAGTAAAGGAAAAAATAATATATTAAAGTCTCCGACTGAGCCATAATTCAAGTTCGTATTCGGCGGTGCGGTGTAATGACGGTAATGTTTTCGTATTGGATTTTTACGACACAATAAGAAGAGATGCGTAACGACTTCATACCACTGGCCTACTTTTAACAATACCATAAAGTGGGTCAATTCACCAAATAAATCGGCAATGAGATGCAACAAACCACAAACTCCTCTGATTAAATCATAATGGTTCAAAAGGAACGGGTCGTATACATTGTTAATGGAGCACAACAAACTGATACAATCGCACAAACATAGAAATACAGTTTAATTATTTAATACAGCAATGTAAAGAGAAGTTACCCTTAGATTACTTCTAATATTTAGGCTGAAGCAAACAAACACCAAATTGTGACACTAGGAAAGATTGAACAAACTTGTATTGGGCTATTGTTTATTTTATGTTGATCAAATTGCAACTCACATAGAAACCAATGTAGTTTAAAATAAGCCAATTTCCATTTAATCAAATTATGTCAAACAAATGTGTTTGTAAACTTATATTTAATTCAACACATGCATTAAAGTTAACCATGCGTAGTCATGCTATAGAATTTGCAACTAGAATTAGCATTTTAATGACGTCATGACACTATACGCGATGTCACATGTTTATGGTTCGACAACAGATTATAAATGACGTCAAATGGTAGCGATGGTGTCCATACTATTAATATTAAATTGTCTATTGTCTATTGTCTAGGTCAGTATTCTGTTTAGACTAACGATAACTACCGAGTTAGATTAAATTTAGTATCATTTATTCGTATGTCACGTAACTGTATTACGATACTCCGATCTTATCGCCTGTATCTACAGTTATATGCGGGTGATCCAGATGTAATTGACCTGTATTTTAAAAGAATTGGGTTAACAAAGGAAGACAGCGATGCACATGATATAGTTTTCAGTACATTAACTCCATTATTAGAAGTTTAAATTATTAATTCGTATACCTGGGGACTTGAAACACATAACTCTTTGATGGGCTGATGATGGTAATAAAGTAATGAAGCGCTTTTGAAGATAGCATCACTTTGGGGCGTAACAAAACTTTTATTTAGTTCATAAAGTTAACGAGATCTTGAAGATTATTAAACAATTGCAATCGCTATTTTTTCAGCCATTTATAAGCCTTTTCTTCGCTGTTCGTCTAAAGATTTATTTATTAGTTGACGGTAATACTCTACCCGTGCAATTAATACTCGCCATAAACCATTCTTTATCAAGATTTTCCTCTATTTTCAAGTTGTAAACACTTTTTTGGGTCAGGCGGGTTTTTTGGCATTTCGATGTTAGATAAAATGTGTTTTAAGTTTCACTTGATGTTTAACGTGATATAAACTAATTTCCACATCGCGGCAGTATTAGATTGTTGTCTTTATTGGCTCGCGTATTTTCGCCCGTTGACGATTTAATAAGAGCACAATTTCCCGCCCGCCGTCTTCGAATTTACAACTTCCGTAAATCTTCTGGCTTCTGCTACGTTATGAGGGATTAGGAGATGTAAAACGCTTCATAATACAAAGCTCTCTGCTTTCATTAAGCAAACTTATTGATCGTTAACATATAATAAATTAACGCCGGCGTCCAGAAATACGCTGTTTATTAATAATTACTAAACATTAATAATAGTAAAATATAGCCTATGTTCCTCACAGATAAATTACCTTTCTGATGGTGAAAAAAAATCTAAAATCGGCCTAGTAGTTTTTAAGTTATTTCAATACATACAAAAATATAAATCTTTCCTCTTTATAATATTAGCATAGACAACTCAATGCGTTTAATTTATATAATGAAAATGTGTTAACGAAAAGTTTATGAAAATGCTAGATACAATGTCTTCATTCCCTATGCCGATTTTCTCATTTCAATAAAATCTTGATAATTTGAGCTATTTTCGATAAATTCGTGAATGTTGTCAATTTGCCTAATTTATAGAATAATGCATATTCGTTGTGAATAAGTTGCCTTATATTAGAATCTGTGTTTCTTTTATGTATACCCCAATTATTTGTTTGTAGTAACATTGTACGTCACTTCTTTAACCTCATGCCGTGTTGATTAATTTGACCCTTTGCCTTTAAAAATGCGATATTTGTTATAAAGCTGTCCACAATCGCCCTAAGCCGTCTGAATCCAACGACTTTCAAATGTTCTGTCAGGTCATGAGCCTGGTAGGACAGAATTAATGTACTCAGTGAAACGACTAAATAAATCCTTTCGTCAAGCCTAATATAAACATTAATTTATCTTTAGTAACAAATTAAGTTAGTTCAAGTTCTTAGAGCAATAAAGATAATGGCATTATCTTAAAATGTAAGAAAGGCAATTTGGTTGGTGACTACCACCCCATGCTGGTGCCCGACGGACAATACGGAACGATATACTGAGGTGCTCTTGTGTCCCTTTGCGTTTCACCATCACCTATGCTTTACGCGTGTGGTTTTGTTTGTAAACTTACATAGCACTGCTGGCCCTTCTATGAAGCAGCTGCAGCAAGCTGCCATCGCCGGCGGAGGAGCAGAGGCTGCGGGAGCGGGTGCGCCGCCCCCCACCGCCGCCCCCGCTGCCCCGCCGCTCGCCCCGCTCCCGCCACCTCGTCACCAGCGACTCCAAGCACAGCATCGCGTGACCATCGCAAACCATCCGATATTAATGTTTCTAACTTTACTGGCTGAATGCAGCCTGCAGTGGTTTTTTTTTTTAATAGAACGCCAGACTATGACTTGTTTTAAATTTATTATGTCGCTTGAATTATTTCTTAATTGAATATTAACGATTTACAGTTATTAGTTATACGGAAACTAATACACGGATTAGTCACATTAATTTGTAAGAAATATGCAGATATAAAGTTTGTTAATAACTTTTCTATAAACGGGACGGTTACTTTTTATACCAACTTTCGCGTCGCAAATTTATCGTCATTAAATTTTTCACTTCACTTCAAAATACTAATTACATTATAATTAATTAATCTAACGTTCACAATGAAATATCAATAGTCGTAAAAGTTTCAGAAGCTTTACGAATTACATGTTTCGATAGTCAAGTTTTCGTTGCCGTTAGAATACTGGCGGAGACACGGCTTACCCGAGCGCCGGTTAGCGACTGAGGGCTGAGGACCGTCACTATACTGTCATACCCCTAAGGCTACTTCACTTGGGAATTTTCGCGCAGGTTTTAACCGAAAGTATGTCATTGTCAAAACTGATGACAAAGTTATAGCGCAAGGCGCAAGCGGTAACTGTTTACGTTGTATGTAACTGCAAAGGATTATGTCCCTCCGCATTGCACCTCCAAACCACAAAGTTGTAATTTTAAAACAAAGCGAAGATGTTGTAACAATATTATGATTTATTCTTTTGTTAAAAAAAAGAGTACAGTCAGCTGCATAAATATATCATGTACGTTTAGAAATCTTTAGACACATGTAACTTGTAAATGCTCAAAGGTTTAAAAATACATATACACGTAAAATAACGTGTATTTATTATGGTCGTGAGCATACGGACGTATATGTGTTTACATTTTTTATGAAACCGAAAGTATATAAGTTTCTGAAGCTTTGTATGCATCTGACTGTACAAGAAAACTAAATTAAATATTCTTAAAATGCTATTGACATATTTGTATTTCAGGATTGTTTTACACGTATTTAGAATTTATAGGAATATGGTATTGGTGTGGAAGAGAGAGGCGTATTAAAAATCTGGAAAACGTAAATACGTGCTCGGAGCTCTGAGTATATGAGAGTTTATTTCTTTAATCTTTACGATGTCTTGGTCTAAAAACATTAAATCCTTCGATTGAGTTTACGCAATTGAAAGCAAAAATGCAGCATTATTTAATAAGAAATGTATGCGCTCGTGTAATATTTTGTAGTAGCCGTTATTTATACAGTCTCTATAAAGTAGCAGTTATAGGGCATTCAAGTTTAATCGATATTATGGCAATTCACATTTGCACTCTAGTCATAGTATTAATCAAAAATAAATTTTATAAATTTTGTTCTATTTTTCTAGAGATTTTGTTACGTATATGTTAAAACTAGTCCTTGATACCGGACGTCCGCGTCCTAAGTATTATCGACATTCTTTTAATTTCATTATGTCGTAATTATTGTAGCTGTAACTAATTAATATTGAATTGGTAATAAATGATACATTTTTTTTCGAAGTCAATTCAAAATCAGAAACCTTTCCCTTCTCTTCTGTAAAGTTTAAAAGTTGAAACCTTTATGTAGTTTTGCGTATAACGTAGATTTTGTTTAAAATACTCTGATAACATGTCTATTACTTACTCATGATTTCACTTCACGCTTCACTTATAAGTATATTAGCATAGTATTAGTACCGAAATAGTCGAATGAAAAAAAGATAATTTAGTAAATGAAAATACAAAGTGGATTCGTTCCATGTTCAATTGGATTAGGCGTAATGTTTACCCCGACGGACTTGTGATAGTAAAATTGCTTTGGACAGCGCCAAATGAAATACGTGACTTTTCATCGATCCATTCCGCTCGCTCCACTATAGATGGCATCAGTTTAAATAAACTTAAATTACAATTCAATCTCTATAAAAGAACTGGCTGTTGTCTGCGAATTCATCCGCGTGGTGTTAAGAAAATAAACTAAAACGACTAAAACTAAATCTGTGGAAAACTAAGAGAAATCTATCTCACGGAAACTGTACATTTTTCGGAATTACAGAGTAACCTATACACTATTCCAGACTATGTATCTATTGTTGTACTGTAAAACGTCCAGCCGTTACTGAACTACCTAATAACAATCAGACGTCCGAACTTTCGCCTTAATAATATTAGTAAGAAGTACATTCGCTAAAATACGTAAACCGATTTAATTCAATTACGAATTTCGTGTAGACATCTAACTAAATTACTTTAGTACGTGGCACAACGATATTTAAAAACAATCGTATTAGACGTATCATTAGTCATAGTACAAAATCGTCCTGAACTCCTTAAGTACACAACATCGTCCTGTACTAAAGGGGTTCAGTACGATTTTGTACTATGGCTATGATATAGCCTATATAAAACAAAACAATAGCGATATCTGCGATTAACTTTTTACGACTGTTATCAAACCATTTGTCAACGTGCGAGCATTGTTAAATCGTTGATTAAAATAACAGTGCCGCCGTTACTGTCACAAGAAAGCAATCAGACTGAATAGGCTTATTTAAGGTACTTAAACAATGAAAGAGTAAATAAATAGAACAGGAAAGCCCCAGATTTTATGCGTACTTCGGTCGATAACTGCAGGCCGAGTCAACGTACGCGTAATGGAGTGCTCATGCCAAAATTTCCCCTCAGCCGGGAAGAACATTAACATTCAGATATAAACGCCAGATGTTAAGGCTGAATTGGGGCGGTCTTAGCTTCCAGCGTTTATAGCCGATAAAGAAGATGAATGCAGAACTTAAACCATAAAACCTTTTTTAACATGTATTTAGTAACAAATGATAAAACTTAGAGAGATTTAAAATTTGTTTTAAATAACAGGTATCACTTAGCACGTTATTTTTATTTTTATTAAAAGTTTTTATTATTTATCATGTAACTTTAAATATTCGATCGATTTCAAGCGAGTGAGCGGTCACTTCTATTAAAATTGTATGTAAACGAAAAGATGCAAGTCCTTTCTACTCACGTACACGAGTCCACGAAAACACGAGCTGCATAAGATCAAGCCATCAGTTGATTTTCATTTTAAAATGTGTATCTGTTTATAGCTTTATATTTATTTTAAAACACGTGTATTTATAGTGATAGTGCCCGCTTTAACATCTTAGCACGAATGGGCCGGCACGCCCGGTGTAATTCCACGACCACACAGAAGACAGGCGTGAAATGGAAGCGATTCCGTGTTTCGTCTGAGGAGTGTGGTGCCGGAGGCCTAATTTAAGTCCCTTTTTCTTTATCACCCTTTTCTTATAAGAAGGGAATGGGAAGGGAAAGTGGATTTAACGGTGGAGGAGATGCATAGGGGTGGTAAATATCCTCTTTATGTCCGTCTCCTCCGTCGGATAAGGGTAGGCAACGCATCTGCAATTGCGGATATCTATGGGCAGCCATAGCTTCGCCATTTTGGCGGATTCAGGTGACCGCTTGCTCGTTTGCCACCTTATGTTATAAAAAAAAAGTTGAAGTAAAAATTGACTTTAAGTTAAATTGAGCTTAACACTAAGCGTGCGTATATCTGAAACTAAACAATCGCACAATTGTTTAGTTTTGTTGCTATTATTTAATATCGATGTATTATTTCGTTATAACAAAATATCGCAGTATAAATCTCTATTCACAAGTCATGCCAGTTGTAATAAGTGAGTCGGAGTTCAGCCAACAAGTACTTGGCCATGTGCCCTCGTATGACATATCTTCGGAAATGTCAAATAAGTGTCCTATTACAATTGTAACTTAAACGTGATGATTAATGTGTTTTAAATTTTCCATACTTAATTTTTACTCGAAACGTTTGCTGTATAAATGCAAATTGTGCATACATGTAGTTGTATTTAACGTCTAAAAATTATTAATAATGGTCGATAGATGTCGTTTTATACAATAAAATAATTTAGGAAATAATAGTAAAGTAACTTCCATTAAATACTAAACATTGAAAAATCTAATATACCTATATTCGTAGGAGTACAAACACATGAGGAATAAATAAATAAACGTACATTAGAGTCTTATTAAGAAGTGAAAATCGGAGCTAGATTTATATTCAATGACGCTGTAATCTTTGTCAGCATTGGTTATCTCAAAGCCCACGCTAAAAGAAATGTCCGGCCAAAGAAATAGAAATGAATAAGTAATTACCATGTCTATGAGATGTGATGAAAGACGATCTTCGATGGAATTTATTTGATTTCTCTTTGGCGGGCGATGGCTTTGATGTTTGCTCGGACGTGTTTTGTCAAGCACTTTCTCGATACATTTTTTTTTGTTTTTGCGAATTATATTTGAAATCTCTATCAAAATTTATTTAAAAACCCTAGGTTATAGCAATGACGAACGATCGTTCCGCAAAATGGCATTCTGTTTAACACGGTCTTGGCCTTTTTCCTCTATGATATTGTTAGTTTTTTTTTTCAAAGAAAAAGGTAATAATGCAAATGAATTCTAACTTACACGTTGAAGAATCTACGTCTGATTTTGATTGCAATAAAAAACACTTAATTAGCAAACACGTAACAAAGTTTTGCTTGTTAATGAATAATGTTATAACTAAAATAGGCTCAAAGCATGTCTGGCAACGATCCAATTCGATTCCAACAATTCTTATGTCGTTTTACACCCAACTGGCAAAAGGATTTTAAAAATGTTTTTACATAAATTGACTTTAAATTTAAGCATGCTGAAGTAAAACTAGTGCATAAGACTCCAGTTCTATAGTATCCATTGAGTTTACTTTTTTTTTGCAAAATCAGTACGAAACTAAAATAAGCCGCGTATTACCTCAGGATCCACATCGATCATAGAGACAGACATTACCAACAGCAAACTCGTACAACAACTTCACCAAATCCAAGTAAACGCCTAAATATTGAAACTTACAACTCTGTACGGCAGTTTTTAACTATATTTAATGTTCTCATCAGAAGTGATGTAGGTATAATTTTAAGAACATTAAAAACAGTTAAATAAATGTAGAAGACTAGATAAATGTTTTTGGTATAGCGCCATCTATTGAGACTGCGGTATTACCAGAAAAGTTTTTCGCTTACAAATTTTAACAGCGAGATGGAATGTTACGAAGTTCACACTTGCTTCAATAGATGGCGCAGTTCCCTGGTTTTCAGAGAAATTCGTTCAAAAACATTCGACAATGACTGTCAGTTTGACAGTTTTTCGCCCGACTCTGTCTTAAAAACATCTGCGTAATAATAAAATTAAACCGGTTGATTTGATTGTTTCTAACAAATGTTTACAAAAATATAAACTATATCAGTATTTTCATAATAGATTTCATTTTTGATATATTAGTCTAGAAAAACGAAAAACAAAATTCAAAATTGTAAGTACAGTTTTAATAATTACTTACCGATTCGTCCAGCCTTCGAGAGAACTACTTCTGTTTTCAGATGTGCACTTTTTGTGGACGTTGTTTATTTTACTTTTTAACTTAACACCTATTTTTTTCGGGCTGCTTGGTATTTTTAAATTTGACATCATTTTGTATGTATGTGTTTATTTACACTTTTTTTCTGTACATAAACAATGTTACACCATTATGAAAAAATAAGGAAGCTAGTTTCTCTTTAATTTAATTTATATGGTGTTTTTTATTTTAGAGCTGTCATGGAAGAATCAGAAGATGAATTTGCTTTTGAAACAGATCATTTAGCACTTCGGGGGAATCAAGATTATTGTGAATTGCTTAAATACATCGTAAAGTTAGAAGCCATTAAAGTGAAAGCTTTAAAAGATATTGAAGATATATCGGAAGCGCAAAGGAAAGCTCTAGATGAACCTTTGCAATTTGTGAATGATTTAAAGGAGAACAAAATAGACTTCCCACCTCGGCAGACGGTTCCAGATTTGCCAAAAATCGATTGGAACAAATATAACATTGACATATCAGTGGAATGTGAAGAACCAAGTTTTGTTAAAGAGGAAATTGATACAACAACCAAAGTACGGGGAAGGAAGTTTACTGATAATAAACCAGAAACATTTAATCAACTTTGGTCATATGAGGAACAAAAGCGACTTGAAGAATTACTAGAAATATACCCTGAAGAGGTGATAGAGGCTAGTAGATATAAAAAGATTGCACAAGCCTTAGGCACAAGAACACCAATACAAGTTATGAGTCGGATTCAAAAATATTTTGCTAAATTGGCCAAAGCTGGGTTACCTATTCCTGGACGTATACCAAAGCGGATTGCAAAAGACAAAAGTAATTCAATATTTTATAAGAAGTCAACATTCTTCCCTCAATTACATGTGCCTGTTCGAATGGAGGATCCCTTAGACAACATGGAAGCCTATGACTGTAACACATCAGATACAAAAGGCAGTAATAAATTGATTATTGATTTATTGAAATCTGCCAAAGAACAGAGATTATTGGATGAAATTTCACCGGTATATCAGACAAATACAATGTGTGTTGGATGCAATAAAACAGGATTTTTAGGAGCGAGGTGGACAGATAATGCCGGCACAGACTATTGCACTGATTGCTTAGTAAAACTTTTACCAGCTGATAAGTTAATACCAGTTAGAAGAGTATAATAGTATTTTAATCATGATTAAAAAAATAATTGATAGATTTTTTTATTTCTAGTTTTACTTTTAAATAATTACAATCTCTAATGTTTATTTAATAAAATATTGAAGTTTCTACTAATTTATTGAAAGGTATATTTACATTTTTTAATACTTAAAAGAAACCACGTATTTTAAAATTAGAAGGTAATTTAACAATTGGGTAATTTTCATTATAATTTGAATATTAACATTTTCCAACACATTTAATTCACTTCACAAAAGTTCACGTCACAATACTGGCCATTTATAAAAAGAGAAAAAAGTTATAATTTTTATCCGCACACGATTAGGTCGTGGGATTAGGATGAAACGCGACAGCTCCGAGCCGAGCGTGTAGTGATAGTGGGGCAGTCGCCGCGTCTGATGAAGGACCAGTGGCCCGGAACAGTGAGCACGCCGCCCGACTACTGTATTCTATTCCGTATACAGGGCAAAGGGAGCCTACAATTTATACGTCACTATGTTAGAAAATCTTCAATACTTTTTATATGCATGGGACACATTTTTTTTTCTATTATCTCATACACCGTTGTTAACATCTACATTAAAAAATTTTGATTTTTTTTCCGACTACCCTCGTTCTTATTAAATTTATTTGCAGTTTAAAAAGCAGGGAAATATGTAATTTGAAAGCAATTATTCTGTTATTTTCTAAAACCCGACTGTTAACTATCACAAAACCTTTAGCGTGCGTTTATTTGCAAGTCGTTGGTATCACATTTATTTGCTTGTATACTTTTTTGGCATTTTGTTGTAGTGCGCATTTACATGGGCATTTCTTTAGTTCCCACATCTATTCTACAAAGCGTCGTGCTGCGTGCCGATTAGCTCATTGCGTTTGCTACGCATGGGACAAAAGCTTTCTTTAAGCAGTTTGTTCATTTCGTCACACTACGAGTACAAACACGAAACCTAAACTTACCTATTTCCATATTTGTTTTGATACACTGAAAATAATATTCAAATTATTAATTATTAAACATTACAGATATATTAAAAACACATTTTTAATTTTTTTAATATTTGTTTATAGATTTTCTAGGAATTAAAACATCACGATTTTAAAAATTTAAATCACGAATAATGTTAAAATTTACACACAATTTTATTCTCCGCACGACGGTCTACAATGTAAAGCTTTCATATGGTTATGAAAATAGTAGACAATTAATCAAAAAGATTTTCTGATACCACATTAATCTTCTATTCTGTAGGATAGTTCCATATTGATGAATGTGGCACAGTTTTGGTTCCTTTGCTCAGGTTGGTGGTGCAAAAGGTAAATGATTAATGAAGTCCAGTTTAGTTTGAATAATTTTATATAAGGATTTTATTTCTATTAATTTTATTATTATTAAAATATTCTTTTCGTAAGCATCCTAGTTTTGTGCTGATTTTAGATTAACAACATGATTTTTTTTCTGATGTTTTTTTAAACATTTGCGCTCTGTGTTCTTCATTCAAGTTCTAGTAATCTCATACGCCTTTTATGAACAAACATATATATGCTAATAGATCAAAAACCATACATCACGTAGACGTTGAATTATTAGATTAGATTGAAATTTAGTGAATTAGTAATCAATTTAAAGACATGATGAACACATAACCCGTCCATTAGTGTAATGACATTCGAAACCAGTCGATTAATATTATCCAATTAGCTAATCGTTCTAAACGGCTGGTTAAAATCACTTACGTTTGAGTGTGGAGATTGGAGTAGTTATCCTTTGAGATAATTTCTAGCACTACCAATTCATTAGGATTTACTATCATGAATATTACGCTACGACTTGAAGATAAAATTACCATTGTGACAAAAATTTGACTAGAAAAACTTAGCAATTTAAAAATAAAACAGTTAATGCGTAAAATAATCATTAATTGAGTTAACTTATTGATAAACTATAGCTAAACTAATTTGGTTACTAAATAATCATTATTTTATTAAAATTAAATCTTAACTGGTCTCAAAGAAAACTTATAGTTTGTGCTAAGAAGATTTTCCGTTCAAACCTGTTTACTTCCTCGAACCTAATCGGATTTAAAGTTTCGAACAAATTGATCGCGCAGACTCTTTTCAAAGGAAACCTCAAGTGACCTTTTTGTAATCTTCCACTAACTTTAAAAGCTTTGTACTAATTAACAATTTAAAATCGTTATAACATAAAATTAAGTCCAAATTTTTCACCTTAAATTATTATTTGCGATATGTGACATAAGACTATACTGCATTCGTTGTTTGTATCAGTAAAAATCTAATACGATTCCAACATTTACGACGAATGATGTGAGAACATTCAATCATTGGTATCAGAGGGGCAAGCAGTGGAGCGTGAGAGATGCTGCAAATACCATCTAGGGCAACTATTAATCAAACAAAGCTGTGCCCTATTTACAACGATTTCTTTTTGTTCAACACTTTATCTGGAACTTTTTAATGTACTACTTTTTATTCCTACTCGTTACTATAGAGATAACAACAGTTGAATGGACTAATTCAACGAGGGAAATAAAATGATTTCACAAAATAGCAACGTTCATTTGGAAAGTTTGTATTAATAGTTTTTTTTTTCTTTCGTGTGCTCACAGAGCGTTGTATTTTGCAGTAAATACAGTAAGGAGGAAATTATTTCTATTTCTTTTTTAATTAACATACTAGTATTAGTAAGATAATTCTGTAACGGCAAATGCTACGATGTCACGTAGCAATTGACGTAGCGGTTGGTCTACATAATGTCGTAGCTTAATTATATTGAATCTTTTTAGAATTTTTACATCTCCATAATGTAAAATGAATCAAAACAAAATTTAAGTAACTCTTTAATATCAAATAACCACTTAAATTCACAGCACATTTTCAGTTCCTATAAATCAAACGTATTGCACTTTTCCAAAGGAAAATATTTATTTGATACACGCTTTTTAAATAGCAATGCAGGTCACGTTTTCAGCATTTTGATATATATTAAAGTTTGAAACAATATGGCACTATCAAACAACCAACTGTGAAGTTCAATATTACATTTAGATACATTTTATTCTATACTTTTGATTATAATTCAATGTAAAACATCTTAAATTGTAAATATTTGAAGAGTACAAAATTTGAACGGCTTAATTAGTTAATATCTGTTTAATTTTTTTTTATTAACACTTTTGAAATAATTTTAATATAATATTTTGTAGGAAGTGCGCACGGCGGGAAATCGTTGGCTGCGGAAGACGGATGACTGTATTCAGTGGAAGGTATTGAAAAAGACCTATGTCTAGCAGTAAGAAGATAAAGGCTGATGATGATGTTTTACTTATAATTGACCATTATTTTGTTGTCTTCTAACGGCCGGATTCTGAAACGAATCTCAAATTCTGCGCTCCACTTACAATTTGTCAATCAATCTTAATGGTATTTGGAGTTTAAAGTTGGCTTTATTACAATTATGTAACGTATTAACGTTGATACATATTTAAGCTACAAGCTTTACAAAATTTAATCACATGATGATTATACTAGGTAATACGTGCCAGGGCCCGATTTAAGTTGTATATATAAATATTCAAGAAAACATTTCCATTCCACTGAGTTGGCAAAAAGAACTGAGCGACTACAAAAGGCATTATGGGGCTTAAGATTGGCTGCTTCTCAGTCCTATAATGCTCCTTAGTCAAGCGTTATTTTATTATGTACTCTAAAGTAAACGTATAATAATATAGTTTTTTATTAAAAAATGTAAAAGGTTTATTTATCACTTGAGTAAATAATAAATTGAACATAAGTAATAGGTAACTGGCCGTAGCGGTTTGTAGCAAGGACTTATCAAGAAGTTTGTAATTTATCCTTGTCACGTCGCTGGTCAACTCATTGAACTTTGGTAGTTTCAGTCCGCAGCTTTGTCATTTTGTATAAATTGTTACTATTAGCAGTTTGATTAAAAAAAATAAATTGATTTTATTTTGTCATCGAATTATTTCATTTAATTACACCGGTGATGTTTTCAATTGTTGTCATGTTTTTATTTTTACTTGATTCTCCCTTTGCAGCATATTTCTGTATATTTTATGGGTGTTACTAGAAAATCTTTATAAGATTAAAATAAAATAAGTATTCAAAAAATAGTTTCGAGTACAAGAAAAACCTAAATGTACAACAGAATAGCAAAAGTTTAGTACCATTGGAGAACGAGATTACAGCTCGAAATATTTCACACAAAATACTTGTTTCCATGTTACAAATTAAAAATACTTTTGCAGGAGTTTTATGCACGTGAAAATATAACTGTTGACTAATGGTTAGCGTGATGTTTGAAATATTGCAATGCATTCTAAAACTTTACGGTGAATGTTGTAACGTGTTAAAATAATTGTTTTTGTTGCGTTTTTAGTATATGAATTTTTATTTAATGCTAATAAATTTGATAATGAAAGTTTGTTATGCTTTAGATTACTTCACAGAATAAAATAATGAAATCAAAAGAGGTATTTGTTTGTAAAAATTAAGTGAATTAGGCAGATAATTTGTGTAATCAAGTTATACATTTTCATACATAAAAATGTTACAGTAAACTTTAAATAGAAGAAAGTATCTTGTGAATCTTGAACTCGCCTGAGGCTGAAATAAAACATTTTTCAGTTCAAAATTCGTCTCACGTAGTCGAACCCTTAACGGTGAGTTAATATTCGTCCTTATTTAATTTCCTATAAGGTAACAAATAGTGCGTACTCAGGAATACTAATGTACTGTCCTGAGTTACAAAGATTTTGTTGGACGTTATACAGCCTAAAGGTATTGCTTTGGTAAATATTTTTATTAGTTCTAGTTGTTTCTCTTTGAACTTACTTTGAGAAATTTCTATCGTCTTTGGTATATTGAAATAATAACAGTAATTTATCTTAGTTTTTATAAGCAGGAATTGAAATGAATAATTCTTAATTTTGTTTATTTTAATCCACACTAACGACGTCTTGATTCGAACTAGTCTCGGATAATACAACTACTGGTCCAATTAAAA